AATAGAGCAAAGCGCTGAATCTCCCCACACCCTGCTTTCCCCAGCCCACCAGCGTCGTATCTACGCTGCAAAGCAGGCAGCAAAATTGCGGATTTCCCCCGCGGGGCACCCGAGCTGTGCGAAATAACAAACCACGGATTACAAATAACTCAGGTGAGGACCGACAGCACAGGTGGAGTACGCACCAGCATCTTTCAGCCTTCAAAAATCTAGGAAGAAAAAACGCTCACATGCCAAGCTTGAACCCCAACCCACCCCTCCGACCTCGCTCGCCCCCTCCACGATTCCCAAATCCGGAGCGGGGTTACTGCCCCGTCAAGTAACCCATGCGCCCCCCCCACAATATTGAGCAGCCCAGGCTGCATCATAGAGCACAGTTAGCGTAGTTTTATGGTATCAGTACCCGATCAAAAATTAGCTCAGAGTTCCTGTGTAAGACATAAGTCCTCAGCCTCCGACGGGATATTCCGCGCCAGCCGACCAGAGGAAGATCCAGAGGTCGAGTGACTTTTCATGACGATACTTGTGATACAAGGCATGGTAGTTTGCTGCAGAAAACTGTCCCAGGGTTGACAGAACTAGTGCGTTGGCTTTGGAAGCCGTAGGAGCGCCTCTAGTGGCTCGGGAGCGTAGTAGACGCCCTAGGATTGTAGTGGATTACAAAAAGCCCTCCCAGACATGTTTTTCCTTCCTTGCCGTGGGGGTGAGTAGAGGAATAGGGATACGCACGAGTGCAGGCAGATATTTGTGGTGGCACACTAGAGGATTGGAGTGGTCTTATTATATTTTAATATCTCGCTAACCTTACGTTGATTCAATTGGAGAAAGTGACCGAAGGTCATGGCCATACACATTGCACAGCTCTTACCGCCCCTACCTAACATCCTAGTCCCTAACGATTCAGCTCTTCCCGCATCTGCGCCATTTAAAAGCCACTCCAGGAACTTGAAATTTGGATACCGTACTGCTGATAAAATCCTCTAAGCCACCCCAGGATGTGTTGTCTTTGGCCCTGATAGATATCGTAGCTCCCAATTGTGGTATAAAAGATGGACTGTGATCGATCGGTGCTCCCTTATAATTTTAAATGACCAAGAAATTCTCCCTGATGTGGAATCCCGCTGCCTGACTGGAACAGAATTAAGAGATCCTCAGAGGGAGATAACAAATTTAACTAGTAGGTATGGTAATCGAACTAGACGCTGTACCATCGCACCTTCCTCTCTCGGCAAGACCTAACTTTGGCCTCCTTTCTTGCTTCTTTTCCGCACGGAAAGAGAAATCAGTTCTGGTTTTTATGCTCCCATAGCAGATACAGCAGGGGTGAATCAACAGCGTCTAGGGTATACCCCTAATCGGTACACAATTCCCTATCGTACATTCGAAAGGTTCTTATACTGATCCGAGGGAGTTCCCGGCTCGACAGGAGAAATTCCTGGATAGAGCTGGAGATTTGACTCCAAAGGGTTTTCTTATGCGGAGGTGCGATCCCACTGGTGCAGCGATATGAAAGGACTAGATAGGGGGTTTAATGGGACTCTGGTAACCGGAAGCTTGCACCCTCCTGGTTGCATTCACACAATATCACTCGCTCCCGGTTCTTGACTAACATGCGGCGAACACAGAGGATGGGGCAATCGGTAGCCAAGACTTGCCAAGGGTATGGCTATGAGAGCAAGGGTTCCTTCCCCAACAGTCCTAACCCGCTGTCACACAAGGTGGGAAAAAAACTACAGCCTTCATCCGGGGGCACATGAAACTGGGCGCGTTACGAACAGCGCGGTGGAGTACAACTAAGCCAAATGCGAATACCAAGCGGATCAGTGCTCAGTTGGCTTTGGGATAGAGTGTCCGCTAATCTGCTCTCATGTAATTGGACAAAGCGGTAGATAACCAGGCAAAGAAACATACTCCTATAAATCTGCACCAACAGCAAGTAAAACCTAAAGTGAAAGAGTGCGAAGTGCAAAATGGCTCACGGCACAGTAGGGCAATAGGGGAATTAATCTGCCGATGGTCTTATTCAGAGTTGTAGATATACGCACCGTAATATTAAATGCTAGGAAAAGAAGTGTGCTTGCCATAGCCTCGCGGTTCGGGTTTAGGGGTACCCCCTATCCTTCTGTTAGCCCTCCGCCAGTTTCATATTGACCCCCGGTGGGGACTGCCCATGCACGGGGAGGTTGGGGAAATATTGGTGGGTCTATAACTTCGGTTCCTGTAAATCGGTGGGGCAAGGCATCAAATATTTTAGTCTAGCATGCACCGGTCAAGGGAGCCCTTTGTACCATGAAGGAATTGGAAAATTCTCAAACTATCCGCCGGCAAGTCCCGAAAGATTTTCACATTGCCATATGCTGAATGGTATCAGGTACAGAAAAGGCCGAAGCACCTAATACCAAATAGCATCGGTATAGAGCAAACTGCTCTATGTTCGCATACACTAAGGGTCTGTTTGGATACGACCGTTCGCGTCCGTTCCGTTCCGTTCCCCATACAAATTTTCTTACCCTTCCGTTTCGTAACGGTCGTTTTGTATGAGAAAAACGAATAGTCTCAAACGGTTCCGTTCCCGCCAAACAGAGCCTAATAATCAAGCATGGATATCACACCACGAACATTTACCGGGAGTGGAATTTCCTAGATCACATACTATCACTCGCCTTCCCAGAAAGGGCTCGAGGTCTAAATTTACATCCGATACAACTCAGTACAGTAGGGCAGCCAACCTCAAGCCTACCGGGCACCATCGGTATGCACGAGCGCTTTGGATCACAACAGGGATGTCGGGAGTGAGGAGTGGGGGGGTCACACTTGGCCCAAGGAGAAAAACCCAAGTTAGGTTTCAAAAACACTGCCAACCCCCAGCGTTGCAGGAAGGAGTATAATACTGCAGATGTCATACAACTTGACTCCTCCACAGCAGCACCCTCCCCCCCCCCCCGGCCGTGCGCGGCCTTCCCCGCATGTTACCAAAGCCTCAGCATCGGCTCCTTTGTCCAACCACCCTCTAATCCCTACACGTTGTTAGGTATTCGTAATCCACCCTTTATAAGGAGGCCCGTCTCTTAGTGGTGGGTACCACATGGGGATCCTATGGCAAAGGTGCCATCCCCGGGTACTAGATTTTATCGTGCGAGATACCCGTTCTATTTTTCTAGTGTGGTACCGAAGCTGTAATTTACGGCCATGCGCAGTACAATATCAGCGATATACCATAAGGTAACTGCCACATATCCAAACACTACCTTCCCCCTCTCGGGAGCTAAAACTCACAAACACATCCTACGAACAATCTACCGGTAGTAGAGAATATCGAAACCAATAGCACGGAACTCTCCACCGTTATCGGATATCACGATGCCCAATAGAGGGCACTGAGCCCGATACTATCGCAGCGAAACCTACCCGTGGCAGTGAAATCGAGTCATCCCGCCCATGCCTCACGGGCCAAAGGAACCGTACAGAATATATCACGTTCTTAAATCATGGAATCAACACCGGCAAGACCAGATCTGCTGTCGCTTGGTCGACCGCTCTCTCACCAGTCCACCGCGCCGTCCTTTCAAGTACGGTACATGGCCGTGAGAGAAAAGTACCTTCCCAAGCACCGGCACCATTCCTTGCCGTGAACCAACCCACCCACGCCCCAGCCCCCCCCCCCTCCAGAAAAAAAAAACAATGAAAAAATGGAACTGCTGGTATAATACCTAGAACTCGATCTCCCCTACCATAATTTTTAGACAACCGGTACGACAAATATTCAAACTTCGGATAGCACCCCCCGCCTCCCCGATCCCATTCTTCGCTCACGTATTTTTTGTTCAGCGGGGGGCAGTGTACGAACACCGTGCAGTATAGCACCGGTAGGCTGTAGACGGTTTTTCACGGTACTAGTATCACGGTAGGTCTCAGCACAAAGAAGGCTTATCCAAGGGGTGTCGTATCTACCGCGACATGGGAGAGACCGTGTCCGTAGAGCTAAATGCCTGATGGCAAAACAGAATTCGTGTGGAGTGCTGTGCTATATGAGAATGCGCAGCACCTCCTACGGTGGCATGACTGGACCGGGCTCTTCAGCCATGCAGAAGATTCCGTAATGTAAATTACGATGAGTGGTGTTGTGTGTTGCATGTTACATGGTATGGTTTTATGCCGGCTGGTATCTTCTTCCTGGTCACCAATTCCGGAGGACGCGCGTCTACTGTTTTCTCTGGTGGTGAGATGAAAACTTTTTCTCTGTTGTTGTGACCCAAAGGAGACTATATAAGGCCAGTTGCAATTGCTGTCTGGACTAGATAGTTTAATCAGCAAACCTTCCGCTGCTGAAAAACTCTTCAAATTCTCGCAAATGGCAATTCCGGGTATCGAGTGAGATTATATGATAGGCTACCTGCTTGTGCATGGTGCGCTTGAACATGCTGCGCTGCAGGTTGGAGAGTATCATTGGAAATCTGCAAATCTGGGTATCGTGCCAAAAACGGCGAAATTAGGATGTAAGATCGTTCGTACTTGCGAGATCCCAACAGGATTCTATCTCTGTTTTTCATATGTATAAAAAAAATCGACGTCGTTACCCTATCTCATAAGCGCGCGAACTCAGGATTCCCACAGTAGCGCGATGCGCAATACCGGCGAACAAACCGAGCCAAACACGCAAATAGGAGGAGAAAAGGAAAGCAGTTCACAACCCAAACAAGCAGGAATCCGACAAAGGGACCGCAGAACGCAGAGAAAAGGAAAAGGAAATGAAGGAAATACGCTGGAAATTAAGGAAACTAAAGGAAATTCATGGGCTAACATAGGGGACGAGCGGCGAACAAGCAGACGGCCGATAGAGCAGAGAGACAAGGTAGCGGGGCAGATGCCTAAGCTCTAACTAGGGGCCACCAAGAAAAGAAAAGAAAAGAAAACACACTTTTTTCCATAGAACTAACATTTTTCATAACAAGACAAAGGAGGGGGACTCACGTTCGCACTTTCACCTACAATCTCCTAATCTACAAAAGACCCATAACAATCTTCACCTTGACCCCTGTAATCCTCTCCATGACCACTTCCCACCCCTCCGGGTGAGCAGAACGTACGTGGCCCGTCATGTTATCCTTTCTAGCCGTCGTATGCCCGCAGACATCGCAGACCAGATGCTGCTTACTGTGCTTTGAGGCCTCGTGCCGGTTACGGTCTTTTCTCGTAGTGTAGCTAGTGCACGAAGTGCAGCCTTCGTAGCGGCAGCAGAACCGATGTTTGGGATCCTTATGGTGGTGATGGTGGGCCGTTTCAGGGTTTTTGGTTGCTGCGTCCGGAGGACAGTGAGTGGAGGTGCAGGAAAAGGCTTTCCTTGGGCGGAGTTTAGGACGGGGTTTGGGGCTGGGCGTTGCAACAGAGGGAGGAGTGGCAGCAGCGGGTGTTGGTGTAAGTGTAGGGTGGGTTGTTGGTGGCGGCGGTGCAGCGGAGGTTGATGAGGTTGTTGTCGAAGAAGGGAGAAAGAGGGGTGTTGGTGGGAGAATGTGGTGCGTTGGACTTCGGGGGGGATTGCTCGTTGTGGGGTTCGCGGGTGTGGGTTGCACGGACGTACTTGGGGCTTGGGGAATTGGTTCGTTAGTAGTGGCTAGTAGGTCGTTTGCGGGTGTTGTGTGAGGAGTGGCCAGGTCAAAGTTGAACAGGTCGGACGGGTCGGCCCATAGCGGGAGGTCCGTCGTCTTTGTGTCGTGGAAGTGAGATTCTGAGAATTTGAGGATGAGATCTTGATGGGGATGAGCGTCTTTCTTTTGGGGTGATGAAGGGGGGGGCAGTTCTTGTTGTAGAAGAGGTTGTTGCTGCTGTGGCGGGTTACCCCGAAAAATAGCGTTCTGAGAATTTAATGTGTCAGGTGCCTCGCCAAGGAGACAATCCTTGTTGATAAAGCTGTCGAAGATAGCGTTGATATCGCTGGTAGCTGGGGGGCTCTGCATGGAACCCATGGCTGTATGGGAGGATTTTGGAGTGAGGGAGATGCCCTTGCTATGTCGGGAGAGGTATGGGGTACTTTGTTGGTAGGGAGATTGTCTCCGATCTCCGTGTCCCCGCCGTAAGGTGAAGTTGGGCAATGTGAAGTGTTGTTTTGTACCCCCCAAGATTTGCATGCGGTTGCGTGATGGCTGATATAGGTGGAAGAGAGGCTTTGGGTTTTTGGAAGTGTAGTCGGATCTAAAACACTATAAGCTCTTCCACTCATGACTCGGATCTGGGTAAGAATACAGTCGTAGCAGGAAACAATATCTGAGTGCGGATTAATATGTTTATCGGTAGCGGACTGGGAAATAATGTGTGATCTGAACCCTGATCAGAATATCTCCTACAAAACATCCCAAGGGATATACTTACAGATAGTCCGGATAGTCCCGGTAGTCCGACTTGTACTGGTGATAAGGGGGCTGAGGAGAAAATTTGCCGGAGACAAATATATCCTTATAGTCACTATGTCTGGCCATTGCGCTACCCACCTGTTCCCAAAGCCAAAGCCAAAGCCACGAAAGAGGATGTCCCCAACCCCCCAGAGCTGGGAACAAGGTCAATCCAAACCATCTCCGAATACTTGACACCAATTCAGAGGCGCAAATCAGACTTGCCGTATTAGCCAGGGTGGTGGCAGCCTGTGAGAAGTTGGGGATTGAAACGTTGACAGGTATGCAGTGGGGGGCTCGTGGAGTTAGGGTGTACAGGTTATTGTAATAATGGAGGATAGAGGAGAGGAGGATAGCTAGTAATCAATGAATTAGAAACATGTAAGTAAAAAGCGATTGGATAGGCGGCTTACAAATCGTGTCGACTTTTCCACCCCAAAAGCATGCGGAAATCCTCAATTTTCTCATGCCTAAGCCCCAAGATTCTCTGCGAACTTGGAATTCATCAGGTAGTTCCAAAAAGTGCAGGGGGTCGTGATACACCCAGGCATTACATTGATATCCCCCACAAATCTACCCAAAAATCAGTGAAGCTCCAACATAACCTCTTAGAAGCGGCAATCCGGCTTACTTCTTCCATAAAAGGAACTGCTTCTAGTGCAGCCGGGACCGCTGGAAGCACCGGGGCAGGCGCCGAGCCAACGGAGCCCGACATACTCATTACCAGGTGCATCAGTGGCCCGATGACAATCCCGCCGAACACAAGCACCAGGGCGAACACCCGGCCGAGTCTTAGTTGGGCTGGCGGTAAACCCCGGTCTGCGCTCCGCCCCGGTCGGTCGCCGATGCAGTAGAGCCCGGGGTCCGAGTCCTGATCATTCGTTGAGTTGGTAGCAAACATAGTAGGCGGGTGGCGTCAAGATGTATTGGCCTACAGAACCACTCAATGACCTCACAGCTGGGAAATAGCGGTCACGATAATGTACTGGTATCCCCTGGGGGGGTTGTGAATGGGGGCCAGTTGCGGCAAGAAAGTCAGGAAAAGAGAAAAGGCAAAATCCTCTCAATGGACGGGGGAACGGGACCAACGTGGGCCTTAAGCAATAAGTACGGGCAAATGGGGGTAGATGCACAGCGCGATAGGTTCGGAAAGTTTGAAGGAGGGGAGAAGGGGAGAAGGGCAGCGGGGGATCCCTTTTTATCTAGCTCCCGACGAAAATTGGTGTAACATGGTGTAACATGGGCCTAAGCGCTTGGCATGTACAAGTACGTGTGTGGGACATGACAGGGATAGGGTGGAGCTGGATGTTTTATGCGACCAAGCTCAGCCTTTAACGGACAGAAGGTGATTGCCTGGAGTGCAATTCCGGGATGAAGACTGGATCATGCTACTGCACTCGTACTCGAGTACAATACGGTACCGCACTGGCAGTGCCGTATCGTTGTTGTGGGGGAATTCGCCTGGAATGAGACACCCTGCTGGTACCAGTGTAAAGCCTGGGCCCCGTCGGGTATGATACGGTACCGTAGCTGTAGTACCGGTACCCGACCATACTCGTATCACACACGGGCGTGCTCATGAGGATACTCGAGATACAAAGGCTGCGAATCCGCATTCTCGGCTCTATCCACAGTACCGGTACCGGTACAGTCACGATCAACACGGTCGCGATCAACTCGGTCGCGATCAACTCGATAATCTGGCATTTAGTGAGGCGCTTAGTCAGCCTTTCCCAAACACTTGTGACTAGGGGCTGTAATTTACCTATATTTGAAATCCCTACCCCCGACCAGCTGGATCCTTGGGCTAATAAACCATGTTGAATTTAGAATCACCGTGCTCTAATCATTTCCGCCCAGATTTGCCCGAGCAGTTTCGAGCTCCGGTACCGGCATTCCAGCAGAGACGGGCTGAGAATTGTCGGCGAGGTTGATCGCCGTTCCCACGCTCCCTAAATTAATACGCACCAGTTAGCTGGTACATTGCTGCCCTGGTGACCTAACCTGCTATAAGAGGTCTACTTGGGAAAAAGGTTGGCACGGTAAATTACTTAGCACTCTGCGGAAGGAGTGACAAGTCCCCGGAACGCACACACACGCCGGATATTCCTTTTTTAATAATAAAATAAAAATCTCATCGGACCGAGGGGTAGGAAAAGGAGAGAGGGTGAGCCCAAGTTAGGGAATAAATTCCTAGCAGCTATGAATCCAGCGAAGAAAAAAAGAGAAAAGGACCTAGGACCCACAGGGGAGCGCGAAAATGATCTTACTGACCAAATGTGCTATTATCCTACATAGCCCCACAGATCCGGGAGGATTCGCAAACCGACAAATCTCAGCCCGCGCTGCCCTCCCGGTCCAGCGCTCGAGTTACCGGCTAAAATATTACTCCCGGAATTCCTGCAATAGATTGCCCGTTAATTGCCCGCACACAGGACCATGGTTCATCATCCCGTAGTGGCCCTAACCTATTATCCCATAGTCTGTTGAAAAAGTGGCCGCTTTTAGCGTTCCCAGGCACAGGGGTGTTCATGCATTAGCATGATGAATATTGCTACAATACGGTAAATACTGCTTCTAGAACCTTACCCTCATATGTTACGGTATCCAGAACCGCATTCTCTTTGGAGAGTGGGCCACTTTTAGTGCCTACCTACCCACATATCTTAACTAGAGTTTAAGTCTCAGGTATTAATCGACAGGCCCAAACGGTATAGATATGAGACTAGGCAAAATGGTTTAGTGGGCTTCGTAAGGGTCTCATTTTGGTTAGCGCCCTTCCTGGAGTGGCCCACTACAATCTATGGGATACGGGGAACTTGATTAGAAAGGAGAAGCGAATCACCAAAACCGCACCAAAAATCCCAACCCACGGGCAACAATAGGAAGAGCAAATTCAGTAGTGTAGATGATGTTCCCGATAGCTAAGTACGATATGCTAGATATTCCCATTTTCGAGGTGATCGGAGGTTCTGATTTTGACGAGGATTCCCGTATCATCCAAAATGTTTCACTCCAGCCCCAGTCCCCCTCCCTTACCTGACATGCCAGCGGGGAAATTAGTCAGGTTTGGACTGGGAAAGTTCTTGACTAATCTCGGGTATTGTGTGAAGCTGGTAACTTGTGACAGGACGAGGCATCCCCCATACTCCTACCCTGATTCGGGCCAATCAAACCACGGGAACTGGTCACCAGCCACACCATAGCCGCTGACCTCGATCCTACTTCCCTCCCTCCAAAATTATACAGTACTCGAGTACTGCTCTCGTACAACCAGTATGACCCTATAGGACACTGATCAGACCTTAAGCGAACTACCGGTAACGTTCCCAGCCTAGGAGCAGGTCACGACCCGGGAACGGCCCCCCCCACATCAACCTCTTTCCTAATTTACCACAAACATATGCAATACCACCACAAAAAATACAAAAACTAAAGCCTCGATCCGATTCAGAATACGAAACTCGCCCGAGTAAGGCAATTGAAGCACCCAACCAGCCAAACCCGGTCAGTATTGAGTGCGGCTCACCTATATGGAGTTTCCAAGACTACTCTAGGGAATCGATTAGCAGTATTTGCGGCCTCTAAAACAGGGTGTACAAACAATAAAGTTGGGCTACTCTAGTTGACAGACTATTTTGAGCCTAATACCCGGTCAGCTAGTACTGATCGTCCCTGGCTGTTGATCCTTGACGGTCACTCTCCGGTAGTCAGATTTTCACCCCTTTCTCAACTTCCCATTTCATTCTCCTCGACTAGCTTATATCATGATTGTTTTATTCTTCTCCACATTTCTCTTTTGGTTGTCCCGATATCCTGGTTAATTGACAAGATACCTCATTGTGGATAGGGGCGATGGCTCGGCCGGGTTCGGGCACGAGCGTTGGTGGTTTAGAAATTTCACCGCATCGCGACCATAGACGGGTCCACGCAGGGGCTTAGAATTATGCGGGTCGTCACAGACCTCGGTAAAGGACGAGGAAAAGCAGATTTTTTTCCTTTTCTCTTCTTCCCCTCTCACTCGACCTTCAGCACCTCACCACAGCAAATAGTTCCCTACGCTCCTCTTCCGGTATAACACTTTTCTTCAAGTCCTTCCTTTCTACCAACTTATGACAAACAGTCATGGTCTTCATCCACACCTAAGTCAAACCTCGTGTCCCCACTCAAGCCGTGTAAAACCCTCACCACCGACCATCTCCCCTACGGCGATTGTTTCCAACCCCATGTTTTACCCACCGACTGAGAAATTGTGATCTCGAATTACGGATTTGCACCCTCCCATCCCTTTAGCTTGGGGAGATTAATATTTCACTCTCAACTTCCCGCTCTGCTTCAACCTTTCTCTGGCTGTAGGTCCAACAATAAGTCAAGGTATATATTCCATGGGGTCCCTAAACCTTGCTCACGTCTAGCTGTGCCAAGTTGTCATCCTCTGCACCAAACCCCGGAGGAGTCCCGCGCGAGCCCCCGGCCTCGGCAGACTTCTTACCTTCCCTACTGACCACTTTTCCGGTAGCTCGCAGAGCAGCATTTAGAGCGCTACTTTCGGACATCTCCTCACAACTTGTTGCGTC